TTATATTAATATATTTAAAAAAATAATCACATTCTAAAATTTTATTTAAAAATTCATGCAAAGATAAAAATAAATCATTTTGCTTAACATATAAAATTATATAAAAAATAAATTAAGAAATTAATTGGATGTTTTCATAAAAATGACAAATCGAAGAAATCATCCTAAAATCTAAAAGCAAAAATCAGAAATTACAAATACAAAAAAATCATATTTTTTTTCATCGTCGACTCGTGTGAATGAAAAAAAAATGGTTATTTTTCATAAATGTGGCACAAAATATATAATATCAAATAATATAAAAAAGTTGGAAAAAAAATCTAGGGATCAACCAGAATATAAATAAAGTTGGAGATGAAAATAAATTCTTTAGAAACACAATGGACCAAAATGTAATATTGAGTAAAACTTCCATATAAATTCTTGAAAATAGGTTAAAAAAGATCACAAAAATATCACCGCACGGTAAAAAAGACAGAGCACATGACTATGAGTGAATATTGCGTTAAGTGTAGGTGAATGGTATCATGATAGTAATTTTCTAAAATTTTTTAGTGTAACTCTAAGTGAATAGTGCATTAAGTGTGGATGAATAGTGGTATAAATAGTAATTTTTTAAAATCTCTTAGTGTTTTGTATTATGCATAAAAAAAAATTAAAAAAATTATTTTTATTAAAAATTAACTATGCATCTACACACATAGCATCAACCATTTGCAATTACTATTTATCTAATGTTATAAAATCAAAATTTTAAAATAAAATAATTGAAATAATGTTTTAGAAGATCTATTAAATGATTCAAATATAAATTTTTATGCTAGTATTATTGATTACTTTGTGATATATTAATTAAATATACCTACTTTAAAAAAAATAATCTTTTCATCAATATTTAATAAGAATGACAAAATAATTTTTTATTTGTTAATTTTTATATAAGTTTTTAAATTAATTGTTCCTATACTTTTTTAATACAATCTTATGAAAGCAAATATTAAGGTAGTTTTTATTTTATTTTTTTATTTAAATTGTTGTAATTTTTTTATTTAAGAACGAATGTATAAAGAAGAACAAATTATGTCTTTTTAAGTAGAAAATTTATAAAAAAAATATAAGAAAGAGTTGATTAAATAAAAAATTGATTTAAAAAATGATTAAACTAGATGTTTTTTTTTACCTTTGATTCAATATATTTTACTAAGTTTGTAGAATAACATGTACTATCAAACTATAATTTTTTTTAAAAAAATAATTTGAACTATTTTTTCCAACAAGCCTAAATCCATTACTTTGACTGCAATTGCCGGACCGGTCCACGTCTGCACCCCCTCTTGTACTTTTGTACTGTCTTAAATACCACAAAAATTTCGTACATGTACAACTTCCCCCTCTCTCTTTTTTTTTTTTTTTTTTCCCATCTCTGTTTTCGGCTTGGTTTCTATATTTTATTTACTATACCATAGAAATTCATGCCCAATTAATATCCATTTCTGTAAAACATGGAACGAGTGATATTGCAAGTGCATATTTAGTGGGAAGAAAATAATACACCGTTAGCTCTAATTAATCAACTAGCTTAATTAACTGCCGGTATTGGGTCACCTTATTCCAAACCACAAATATCAAATTTGATCGCTAATTAAATAAAAAAGGATTAATAAAGGAAGAATTTCAAAAGATAGGTTTGATGATAAAAAAAAAAAAAAAAAGTTTGTTTCCTCTCTTAATTTTTAGAACTCAAATCTTACAACTAACATTTTAATTAGATCAATGTGGTGGATGTCACATTTATGATATTTTTTTCCGGATACATTGAGATATTCCATGAACTTTAAAGATGAAATTGAAATTTACACAAAAATGAAAATGCAAAGTCTAATTGAAATATATCAAAAAATTTAAGTGAAATTGAGAAAACACAAACCTTTAAGGAGCAAATTGAAATTTACCCACAGAATTAACCCGAAAGTTATCTAATTTGAATTGTAAAGATTTGATTAGTTTTCAAATAAGTGGGAGTGCTTTGGAAACTTCCGGCTTCTTTTCTTTCTTCTGTTCCTGATCATGCAGGAAGCTTCTGACGAGTTTGCATACATTAAAGGGAAAAAAAATTCTAATTTTTTTTGTCTTCAGTATAATAATCTGGTCCCATCGGGAAGACATTTGAAACTTTTATTTCATTTTTTAAAAAATTTATTTGTAATTGAGACCAGAAATTTGAAACAAGAGTGTGGGATTCTATGGAATCCTTCCTACTTAAAATTGGAAATTATAGGTAAGGATTTTCCATGTAATTGCACCCACCACATTTTCTATTTTCCTGCCTACTTATTGTGACCTCGACAGCCATAAGTCTTCACACCAACGAGCAATGTCTTTAAAAAACACAACAACAACAGTGCCCTAATGTGCAATGTCATCAATATGGCTCATGGATGGTCTTTCTTTGCTCTCTTATTTATTAGGTTTCAAAATTTTCTCCATTCTATTTTTTTTTTTTTTTATCATATACCCTTTTTTTTTTTTTTCATTTTAAGTTCAGTCTTTCACATTTGATTTATATGTTAATATCATCATTTTCTTAACTTTTAAACTAACGATGTAAACTTCTTCTCTTTTTTATCTCATCTTTCTACCTATTTTTTTATCTTAATTTTTTTATTGAAATTAAATAAATAAATTTTAAGAATTTTATTTACTATCACATAGACAAATTTCCCCATATTATTAACCCTTAATGGGCATGACTTTGAGTGATGGGTTAATGCTCTTAAATTATTAACCTGCCATTCATATAATTAACCCTTTTTTGTGGATAAAAAAGTAAAGGTCAAAATATTTTTTATAGATTTAAATTTATCTTTATGATAATAAACAAATTTTGAATATAAAATAAAATATTTATAGTATTTTTTAAAATATAAAAATAATTTTAATTAAAAAATATTTTTATTAAAAATTTTATAATTTTGTAATACCTCAAACAAGCCTATTGTAATTTACTATTTTATAAATTTTTTAATTTGATTCTAAAGAATTCTGCAATCATTAACTATCTTATTGATTAACACAACCCCCAATACTGGATTTCAGATATCTAGCAGTACTTTAGATATATATATCCAATGCATTATTGAGATATTTTTTTAATATTATTATTTATTCCGGTTTTGTTGACTTATTTCGCGGGTCTTCTCTGTGAGGGAAAAAAGAAAAGAAAATGAAAATGTTAATGTTAATTTATTGTTTATTTGGAGGATGGATATGGATATGCTTGTCTCATTTCTATCAATTTAAGATCAAATTCCTTTTAATCACATTTTAGATATACTTGCATTCATATTATATTCTCGTGTATTCATAAAAAATCTGCGTAATATTTTCTTAAACACTCTTACCAGCTAAGCAAACATGTAATAATACAACTAATAATTAGAGAATATGCTTAAACCTAAAAGATTCTTGTAATCTTCATTAGCCCTTCATGAGTTGTCACCTGTATGTCTTATACTATTGATTCTACTGTGAGTATGTTAAACATTAATTAATTTAATCAAAGAGGATTACATTATCCCTTCACGAGTTGTCATCTATATGTCTTATACTATTAAGCCAGGTGTGAGTATGTTAAAAATCAATTACTTTAATTTTTTAAAAAAAATTAGCTTTAATGAAAGAGGTTTTAATAGCTTAATTAAATGGTTTCGAAATCGAATGTTTCTATAGGCATAAAATTCCTTCAATAATTATATTTGTATTGTACATTCAACAAAATAATAAAAAATTAACCTGCACCTTTAGGATTAAAATATCTTTGAGATTAAAAAAATTAATTAATTTATATAACAAAACAATAATAAAATAATTTTAAATTTAATTCACTCTGTACTCTCCCAAATAATGCAGTCCCAATATTTGTGCTCTCAAATCTCCTATGTCTACTTGAAAGAATTATTAATAGATTATGGTACAATGTGGATCAAACAAAATGACCAATTTAGGGAACCAAATCATGGCGTTATACAACAAGAAAGACAGGAGACAACTAGGATTGAGACATTTTTCTTTGTAGCTAAGCAAACTCAGTTCATTCTCAAGAACCTACCTAGAATCCCTTCTACAATCCAACGAAATTTGAAACCGACAAACTTTAAGCTCAAATCATTTGAAGTATCAAAGGATGACTCATAATCATAGGCGTATTTGCGTGGTAAATTCCCATACAGCCAAAAGTCCTATGGTCCCCGTACATGGAATCTCTCCGAAAACCTAAATAAAGGAAGCCAACCGTGCTCAGCGGAAATGAACCTACTCGTGCAAGATGTAATAAGGACCATGTGTGGTGTATCCAGTGCCGGTCCAGTGAGGCAATAGGCCCATAATTGGTTGGACTTTGGACCCAAGAATAGTCAGCATCCCCACTTGTTTCCCAAGAATAGTGGGACAAGCTTCCCTACATGTGACTGACAAGGATAGCTTATATTTGTTGGAGTGATTGTTGGACTAGTTCCCAACATTTAGCCCATCACATCTAAATTGTGTTTGAAGCAGTCTTGGGGACCAATTTGACTGGTTCTCTAATTCAGTAGTATTTCTTGTGAATGCAACAATCATATTCATGTGATAAACATAAGTAGCTCAACCTTAAGATGCTGTCCAGAAGAGAGTTTGATGTAATTCACACAGAAAAACAAGCAAAAATTGGAGCAAATGATGATTAAAACTTACCTAAGCTTCCAAATACATATATATATATATATACATATATATATATATATATATATATATATATATATTCACAAAATGACAAATCTAAGCACTCAACCAAACAACATCAAAATGCTTTTTACAAACCAACATTATATATATATATATATATATATATATATATATATTAATTATGTTCTACAAATTTGGCCACAATTAATGGAGGCCTAACACTTGCTTCAAAGTTTAGACATATTGAAAGATATGCTGCTGCTAACAAAGGGAAATCACTAGAGACAAAGCTTTTCATTTTTGTCAGAACTGTGATCAGGAGACCTGTAAGCACGAGAATCAGCATCAACGAGCATCTTCACAACCTCCCGCATTGTCGGGCGCAGACTTGGAAGCTTGGTCGTGCAAAGGAGAGCAACCTTTAAGACTTTAATCATGTCTTCTCGGACAGATTCGGATACCAATTCCTTGTCAAGAACCTTGAGGACATTTTCACGGTCGTTGAGATGAGTTAAAACCCAGTAGACAATATCTTTCCCTTCTCCATATTCCTCGTCGATGGGGTTTTTACCAGTGACTAACTCTAGTAGCACAACACCAAAACTATATACGTCATTCTTTTCACTGACTTTACAAGTGTATGCCATCTCTGCATTAAGATATCAGTGTACGAATTAGAACAGTTCATTTCATGTTAAGCACGAGAAGTGTAAAATTTCAATAGGAATGCAATTGCCGAAAGCAGAATTGAGCATCATAAAATTGTGAAAAATGCAGTGTTAAATAAGTTTGCAATTCCAGAAGGCAGAACATAAAAGCAGCATCATAAGATTTCACAAAAGAAGTATGAAGTAATTTTCCATGAGATAATATTGATATCAAGCAACAGTCTTGCAGAAAAAAGTAGTTTAAAACTCACCTGGAGCGATATAGCCATGAGTGCCAGCGAATGAGCTATTATCGCACCCCTTAAGAGACATTTCTGCAAGCTTTGCAACCCCAAAGTCGGCAATTTTTGGCTCATAATCTTCATCAAGTAAAATGTTGCTTGACTTTATATCTCTATGAATGATAGGTGGAGAACAATCATGGTGCAGATATGCAATTCCTTTTGCAGCTCCCAAAGCAATCTTATATCTCTTATACCAGTCCAATTCAGGCTGCCCATCTTTGATCTGTCTGTGAAGTGCTTGAAACAAGTTACCATTTGGCATGTACTCGAACACCAAAAAACTCGATCCTCCTTTGAGTAAACTAGCATAAAGCTTCAGGATATTCCTATGTCTGATTTTCCCCAAAATCTCCATTTCTGCTGCCAAAAACTTCAGACCATCTCCCGTCCATAGTTGCTTTACAGCTACTGTACCACGGCTTTTCTTCAAATCCAAGCGATACACTTTTCCTGTGCCACCAGTGCCAATCAAATTGTCTTCTTCCAGAGTACATACTTCATCTGCATCAATATCCAGTTGGTGGAATGATGCAATTTTCCATTTCGGATCTCCTTCCTTCTTCCCTTCCAAGTCATTTTTCATCTCAGCTTGGCCATGCTTAAAGTTCCGGTAACTCACAAGCAGCAACCCGGTTAAAACAAACACCAATACAGATGCTAGTATTGAGAACAGCACCAGCTTATCTCCAAACTTCCTTCCTTGACCTTGTCTTCCCAAGCAAACATTTATCCCTGACTTTATAATGTTTTCGGAATTTTCATCGACACAGAGTTCCTTGTTCCCAATAAATGCTCTGTCTCCGCCCATTGTCAGAAGAACCGAGGGAACTCTTCCTGACAACTGGTTATCAGACAAATCAATGGAGCTTAGCTTCAATTTTTCTAAACCTTCCGGGATCAAACCAGTAAGCTTGTTTTGTGAAAGATTCAGAGAGTTTAAAGAGCTCATTAATGAAAAAGTACTTGGGATTAGACCACTCAAGGAATTTGAAGCAAGAGTCAAGTCCACCAGTCTAGCACAATCCCCCAGTTCTGATGGTATGGATCCTGTCAACGAATTCTCTTCCAAATGCAATGATGATAACTGCTGTAGAGAACCAACATCGGAAGGTATTTCACCAGAGAAGCTATTATTATTCAAGTACAACTTCTCTAGATTCATTAGTTTGCCGAGTTCCGACGGGAGCTGACCCGAAAGCCTATTGTTTTGCAAACTCAACTGATTCAAGCTGGCAGACAACCCAATTTGAGGAGATACCTCACCAGTGAAGTCGTTATCACTGAAATCAATTATACTGGCAAGTGGCATTGCCCAAACCCCCTCTGGAATCTTTCCTGACAACTGGTTCCTATTGATCCTGAACCTCCACAAAGATTTGCACTCAGCATACGAATGCGGTAACTCTCCAGAAAAACGGTTTCCCAGAGCAAGCAAGAACTGTAACTGCTTGCTTTCACACAAGAACCTGGGGAAACTACCTGAGAATTGATTTTCAGATATGTCAATACTGTTTAATGGTGAGAATCGGCCAAGATTCGATGGAAATTCCCCTGAAAAATTGTTTTGGTAGAGTGAGAAACCTTTAAGATGGCGCATCTCTCCAAAACCAGCAGGGATTTCTCCTGAAAAGTTGTTGTCAAATACCTCAAAAACAGTCAAATTCTTCAAACTACCAATACCCTCAGGCAGTTTCCCATATAAGTGATTAGAAGAAACATCAAATTCCTGCAGAAGTGTGAGGTTGGCAAGCTCCGGTGGGATTTCCCCCGTCAAATTATTGTGATAGAGCTCGATTTTAATGAGCTTTTGCAACTTGGATATTGATTTTGGGAATTGCCCAGAGATCTTGTTCCGAGAAATATCCAATGTCTGCAATTTCTCCAGCTCAAACATGGATTCTGGAATCTCTCCTCGCAAATGGGAATCAGCCAGAAAGAGCCAGGTCAAGTTCTTCAAGTTTCCGACATCCTCTGGAATTTCGCCAACATCATATTCATTTGTCCCTAAACCAAGCGCTACTAGTCCAGTTAAATTTCCAACCCAAGTTGGGAACCTGCCTGAAAAGAAGTTTATTGACAAATCAAGAATCTCCAAGTTTCTCAACGACGAAAGGTCCGGTATGACTCCAACCATGTTATTCTCAGTGAGATTCAGTACTTTGAGCTTGCTGCAGTTAATAAGTCCACCTGGAAGCTTGCTGGAAATAGCATTAGAGGGCAACCAAAGGGTTGTCAGGCTCTCAAGGGCAGAAATTGATGGAGAAATCTCGCCTGAGAGGGACTGATTATCAAATGAGATTACAGTCACTTTCCCAGACACAGGATCACAAGTAATCCCTGAGAAATCGCATGGAGATTCTGATTCTTTCCACGACTCCAAAACATTCAAAGGGTCTTTGAGCTGGCTTTTGAATTCAAGCAAGGCTTGAGTCTCCACATTCAGAGACAAAGAAGGCGGGAAACTTAAGAAGGAAAGAAGGCAAATGACAGTTAAAATGAATTGGAGGGAAAGAACAGAGGTTTTGGACATTTTGGAAAATAATTGGTCTAAAATGGTCATTCAAAAATATCGAGAATCATGTGGACCTAAAACCCTGCAATTATTGCCTTTGCCCATTGCTAGCATCCTGGAAACAGCTGAAGATAAAACAACTACAAATCATTACTATATCATATATAAATTTGCAAATTGCAAAATTTTATAATGGACTGGAAATGCCGATAACGATTACTGTAGTTTATGCTGATGAGAAGGAAAGAGAGAGAGACCAACAGAAGTGACGTTTCGAATGTCAATATTTGTCTTTAGCTGTGGATTATTATACTGAGAATTAAAAGAGAGTATCCTTTGAAGTCACTCGTACTGTCTTTTCTGGATAATGGGGTATGATTTGCTTAGCAAGTAAAGTGAATAAAATGATTAAAAAGTAATGATTTTCTAATACAAATAATTATTAGGTTAATTATAAATAGTTTCTAGACTAATCATAAGACAGAATCCAAATCACTTGAACACTTAAATAGCTTCTCTAGTTGGCATATCTTATAAAGCTCAAATCATAATTCCATATGTTTCTTATATTCCTAACCCAACTTCCATATTTTATTAGACTATTTTGATTATGACCATCAAGCAAACAAAATCATTTAAAAGTAAAGGGAAAAAAAAAAAAAAAGAAATTAAAGAAAGACAAAAGTTAGAGAAACAAAGGTGATCTGGTTTACCTGGAATTAATAGAGAAAAAGTGCGAGAAACTGAAGTAGAATTTGTTCATTTCCATGTCTTGCAGTTCTGGAACATAAACATGAACATGCAATTCAATATTTTTTTTCCTTTAATATCAATCAAAAGCAAAAAAGAAAAAGAAAAAAAGATAATATGCAAAGAGCAAAAGCAACAACTTACCAAGAGTGGAAATCTCGTGACTAGAAAAGGACAGCTTCTTGTTCTCCAAAAGATGACACTTGAAAGTATTGGAAACTGAAATTTCTCGAGAAAATCGAACCGTTACTATAACTTAAGGTGATTAGAAAAGTAGTTCTTTCATTTAATTTGTTCTCTCTCGTTAAAGAAGAAAAAAGAAGTGGAAGAAATCAATTCTAATGAGCAAGTATACTTAGAAGAGAAAAGCTTGGTTCTTGGCAGCCAAGAAAGGGATGAAGTGCTCAAAAGAAAATTAATTAAAGGATAGAATTCCCCAAGAAAATCACAGTCTTGGAAACTATAAATGAAAGAAAAATGGATGACTCAACTGGGCATCCCAAGAAAAGCTAGTTTTGGTTTTCAAGGGAGTTACTGTATAAAGATAGAAAAACAAAACAAAACAAAGGCACACAAGCTTCTGCTGGTGCTGGTAGTGGGTAGTGGTAGTTTTCTCGAGAAAAGTAAGGTGGTTGGCACCAAGAATAATTAAGACAGAAAAATTTCCAAGAACGCAAAAGAGGTTTGCATATAATGAAAACAATTAATGAAGAGGAAGGAAATGGAGGGAAAGTAGTAGTAGAATTTGTTATGCATTAGTGGAGAAGATCAAGATCAAGATGAATATCAAGATAATGAGTAGAGACAAACAACGTTTTGAAGTAGAAGTGTTGTAATGTAGTGTTGGCGTTTAGTCACCTTCTATAGTGGGAGAAGGAGTTACATCACTCTCATTTTGCATTAACTTTTTCTGAGTCATAAAATTTGGACTTGTGTCAAGTCAAGACAGACAGGATCAGAAATGTGAATTTGCTGTGTTATTTTTGGTCTCTGTATGGATGGCGGGGACACTAGAGAGGTAAGCACCCGTTGGCTCCAAGATTAATTTTTTCTTTTCGTATCATCCATAATTTTTATGTAAATGGTTGTTTTATTTAAACGCCTATATTGAAAGGATTGGGACAAGTCAATGTAATTAGAATTAATGGATTATTTATGTATGGGTCATACACTACTATTATAGTAAACATGCATTATAATAAATTGGCTCTTCCATTCCTTTATTAGGAATTCATTTTTTATTGAGTTGAGCTATGAACGGTATAAAAAGCTACCATATTCAAACAAAAATAAATTATATTAGTTAATTATTAAAAGCTGGCTATTATGTTAGTTGTAGTCCGCCTTCCCTCCTCCTCTCGTTTCGAAAGGATTTTGCCGTATTTTCTTATGATGACGTGGTCGATGGAATTCGATGCATGTGAGTTTTTTATATGGTGATTTTACTTTAGTATCCCTATTGTTATTTTAACTGTGTCATAAGGTGGTGGACTGGACAAAACATATAAAACAAATTTTAAAAATCATTTTATTTTGATGATGTGCCCTATATTAAGGTCCATCGAAATATATGAGATCAAAGGTTTAAAAAATAATTTAATTTTATAAATTTTTAATCAAAATTTTATATTTAATTATAATTATTTTTTATTATTTTGTAAATTTTTTTCTAAAAAAAAACATGATTTATTCTTTTCTATTCATGGATTCTTAGCTAAAAACTTATAATAATCTAAAAAAAATTAATACAAAAAAGGCATATAATTTTTTTCATAAGATTATGTCAAAAATAAAGTAATAATTAATGTAAAAACTTACATAATTATTTTTATTCTTATTTGAATTATAGAATGGTTCCATCAAAATATAATTCTAATTATTTTATTTAAAATAAATTAACATCTGAATATTGATTTTTTATGTGAGAATTTTTTAAGAAATGAAAAATTAAAAGAATAATTTTTACATAATAAAAGTGATATAATTTGCAATATATGCTCATTTTAAAATATGAAAACATATCATATATGTTTTTTTCTCACCAAATACGTGAAAAATTCAAAATATAGCCATTGATCTTCTATAATTTTCTTCAAAAAAATCATAATAAATAAACTACTGAAAAAAAAAAAAAAAAAGAACCAAAGAAGAGAGCAGGCATGTGCATGTGGGCTTGAAGAACCAGGCCTGCACAGGCCAACCATTAAAAAAAATGGAGGATAAGTCACTGACTCTTATGTAGCATATGAGGTGTCGACCAACTACAATTTTCAGCAAACTCAAGTTCGCTGGAAAAGTCATTAGAAAATTGAGTTTCTAGCATTCCAATTCAAATTCAACGTTATTTTTATTCAAAAAAAAATTAAAGTCATAAAATATGGTAATAAACTCAATTCGAACCTCAAAACTCATTATAATACACATAAAATACACAAAAATCCAAAAGAAACTCAAAAACAAAATTAGAGCTCGATCTACCTCTTTCAACCATTTTAAGACTTGTGGCCACAATAAGTTCTTCTCTCCAAAACGAATAAATTGAAGCTAAGATTGAGAGTCAAAGTTGTCGAAATAAGATTCATTATGACTTTCTCTCTCTTACCTTCTTTCTCATTGTTTCTCTCTCCTTCCTACAATCAGAGACCAAACACAAAACTATAAGAACTAACAAGTTAAAATTGAAAAAAAAAATCATTAAAGAAAGAAATTTTTTTAATAAACCAAATATGATGATATTTTTTTCATAAACACTATCTAGTAGTCTTTTGACAATACAATGATAAAATTAAGCTAAAAAAATATGATAAAAAATATTTTTCAATAACAATATCGTTCACTATTGTCATTGCCTCTTATACACTATTTGAGTAGCATAACATGATTACATTTTTAATCTAATTTTCCATTAAATTTATGAACAAAAATTCTAAAAATGAAAAATAAAATCTCATATGAAAGCTTGAATATAAGAAAAATTTGATATCATCTAAAACGTAATTATTTACACATATTAAATGTGTCATTTGATGACAACGTCAAATAAATAAAATGATATGATAGTTGGGAGGGATTAGAATTGTGAAGGTTTTTAAAAAAATTATAATAATAAGAGAGAGAGAGAGAGTTAAATTAATTTTGTATATTGAGTTTCATTTAACTATAGTATGAGATAATTGTTTTATACAATTCACTTATAAAAAAAAATTAACTATTTGATTTATAAGAGTTGCTAACAAAATCTACTTATTTAGTGCATGAGATACTCATCCGAGTGATTGATATTTCTTTCGATAAGTAAATTATGTAAAACAGCTTATGTAAGATTAACATTATTTATATTGTTGATAAAGGGAATATTGATATTGCTAATTAAGAATTGAAGTTGGTAAGCTATGAATTTTTTTTTTTTAGAAACTAACTCTTTCAAGCTTTATTATATTTTTCTTAACTATATATATATATAATATAATATTGATATTGCTAATTAAGAATTGAAGTTGGTAGGCTATGAATTTTTTTTTTTAGAAACTAACTCTTTCAAGCTTTATTATATTTTTCTTAACTATATATATATATATATTCTATTTTTATTTTTGTCAATTTTAATTAATTTATTTATTTCTTTACTTTTGATGATATTGAGATATTTCAAAAAAAATTAGGGATGAAATTGAAATTTATGCATTAGACAAAAATGGGCGAAGGGGATAAAATGGAAAAAAAGTTAAAGATGTGAGAGTCGATTAGATCAAAAGAGAAATATTCAAGGCTAATTGGAACATATGTGAAAGATACAAGGGTTAATTAGAACAAATCAAAAGTTTTGAATGAAATTGAAACACTTATAAACCTCAAAGGGAAAATTAAAATTTATCCAAAATCAAGTTGTCACGATCCTAGGAGTGAGCCATGACTAACATGAGAATTGAGGGAACCGTGAGGCCCACCTCGACTCAAGCAAGCCTCAAATGTCTAAACTTAAATCCCCAAACTTATATCTCATTAAACATCATTTCAATTCATAGTAATCCAAACTAATAATCATTACTTTATATCTCTAACATAAATCATAATTGGGTTTTACACATATCGAGACCTCAAACAATTTATCTTTCTTATTTTCCAATTTCATAAAACCTAAACCTTAATCCTCATTCCCCTTATTTTGCTTTCAATCCCAATTTCACCAAACCCAAACCTAACCCTTATTCCCCATCATTTTTTTTAATCCCTAATTTCCTAGTTGTAAACCCTAATTATCATTCTCC